GGTTCAGCCTGAAGCCTCTACTCAGCCTGAATCCTCTACTCAGCCTGATGCCTGTACTCAGCCTGATGCCTGTACGCAGCCTGATGCCTCTACTCGGCCTGAAGCCTCTACTCAGCCTGATGCCTCTATTCAGCCTGATGCCTCTACTCGGCCTGAAGCCTCTACTCGGCCTGAAGCCTCTACTCAGCCTGATGCCTCTACTCAGCCTGAAGCCTCTACTCAGCCTGAAGCCTCTACTCAGCCTGAAGCCTCTACTCAGCCGGACACCGGCATTCAGCCTGATGCCTCTACCCAGCATGATGAACTGATCCAGCCAGACGATCCAATGCCTGGTGACCCGGTGCCCACTGCCTTGCCAGATGACGCGGTGCCCACTGGCAAGCCAAATGACCTGATGCCTGGTGACCCAGTGCCCGCTGTCATACCTGGTGACCCGATGCCCGCTGTTGAGCCAGACAATCCGGTACCTGATGACCCGGCGCCCACTGTCGTGCCTGTTGACTCGGAGCCCACTGCCTTGCCAGGTGACATGGTGCCCGCTGTCGAGCCAAATGACCTGATGCCTGGTGACCCAATGCCCGCTGTCCAGTCAGACGATCCAATGTCTGACCCAGTGCCCGCGGTCATACCAGTTGACTCGGAGCCCACTGCCTTGCCAGATGACGCGGTGCCCGCTGTCGAGCCAAATGACCTGATGCCTGGTGACCCAGTGCCCGCTGTCATACCTAGTGACCCGATGCCCGCTGTCGAGCCAGACAATCCGGTACCTGATGACCCGGTGCCCACTGTCGTGCCTGTTGACTCGGAGCCCACTGCCTTGCCAGATGACGCGGTGCCCGCTGTCGAGCCAAATGACCTGATGCCTGGTGACCCGATGCCCGCTGTCCAGCCAGACGATTCAATGTCTGCCCCAGTGCCCGCGGTCATGCCAGTTGACTCGGAGCCCACTGCCTTGCCAGATGACGCGGTGCTCGCTGTCGAGCCAAATGACTTGATGCCTGGTGACCCGATGCCCGCTGTCCAGTCAGACGATCCAATGTCTGACCCAGTGCCCGCGGTCATACCAGTTGACTCGGAGCCCACTGCCTTGCCAGATGACGCGGTGCCCGCTGTCAAGCCAAATGACCTGATGCCTGGTGACCCGATGCCCGCTGTCCAGCCAGACGATCCAATGTCTGACCCAGTGCCAGCGGTCATGCCAGTTGACTCGGAGCCCACTGTCGTGCCTGGTGACTCGGTGCCCGCAGCTTCGCCTGGGGGCCCGAGACCTGTCGCTCCGCCTGGGGGTCCGGCGCCCGCCGCTCCGCCTGGGGGTCCGGGCGCCCGCCGCCCCGCCTGGGGGCCTGAGACCTGTCGCTCCGCCTGAGGGCCCGAGACCTGTCGCTCCGCCTGGGGGTCCGGCGCCCGCCGCTCCGCCTGAGGGCCCGAGACCTGTCGCTCCGCCTGGGGGTCCAGCGCCCGCCGCTCCGCCTGAGGGCCCGAGACCTGTCGCTCCACCTGGGGGTCCGGCGCCCGCCGCTCCGCCTGAGGGCCCGAGACCTGTCGCTCCATCTGGGGGTCCGGCGCCCCGCCACTCCGCCTGAGGGCCCGAGACCTGTTGCTCCGCCTGGGGGCCCGGCGCCCGCCGCTCCGCCTGGGGGCCCGATGCCCGTTGCCCGCCTGGGGGCCCGATGCCTGTCGCCCCGCCTGGGGGCCCGATGCCCGTCTCCCCGCCTGGGGGCCCGATGCCCGTCACCCTGCCTGGGGGCCCGACGCCAGTCGCCCCGCCTGGGGGCCCGACGCCCGTCGCCCCGCCTGGGGGCCCGACGCCCATCGCCCCGCCTGGGGGCCCGATGCCTGTCGCCCCTCCTGGGGGCCCAGCGCCCGCCGCTCCGCCTGGGGGCCCGATGCCGGTCGCCCCCCCGGAGTCCTGCCCGATGTGCCCTCTGCCCGGAGTCCTGCCCGATGTGCCTCTGCCCGGAGTCCAGCCCGATGTGCCTCTGCCCGGAGTCCTGCCCGATGTGCCTCTGCCTGGTGTGCCGCTGCCCGGAGTCCTGCCCGGTGTGCCAGTCTTTGATATCCCGCCAGTTACCAGACCCGGGCGGTGGAACATTTTGCCCAGCTAGGACTGTTTGGAGCGTCCTGAGGCCGCTCCTTGAGGGGGGGGGGGGGGTACTGTCAGGAATGGACTGGCCAGCAATAGTGGGACTCAGCTGCCTTATGAGCTGCAGTACCAGGGCTGGCCAGCGGGTGCTTTCAGCAATCAGAGACTCAACCTTGCAGCCAGTCAAACACCTGGAACTAATTATACTGGTGTATTTAAGGGACATTCAGACCTGCAGACTCTGCCTTGGTGTTGTGTTTCTCTTGGGCCCTGTATCCTGTTCCTGCTCTCTGTTCCTGTCTGATTCTCTGCTGACCCTGCTCTGATCCCTGGCTTGTCTGACCATTCTCCTCTGCCTGACCCTCTGTACCATGCTGCCCGCTACCTGCTGAACCTGGCCTGTGACCCCGACCATTCTCCGCTTGCTCCCCCTGTACCTACCTGCCCGACTGATATTGACCCGGCCTGCCTGACGACGCTTGCATTGTATGTAGTGTTATCTGTGGGTGGTTGGTTGGTTTGTTTGCACTGTGTTATGTTTTAGTATTGCACTGCGTTTATGTTTGTATGGTTAGTGTTAATAAATTACATTGTTTATAACATATCTGAAGTCTGCGTTTCCCTGCGTCAGTCACACACCTCTGGTCATACCCGGGAGCCCTGACAGCCTCCTCGGACTCTGCGTTGCCCACTGATTATGGGGAGTACCAGGACGTGTTTGATAAGGTACGCGCTGGTGCCTTACCTGCTCATCGTCCTTACGACTGCGCCATATCCTTGCAACCCGGTGCCACTCTTCCGCGTGGCAGGGTGTATCCTTTCTCGGTTGCGGAGAATAAGGCCATGGAAGAGTACATTGCGGATGCACTTTCCCCGGGGGCACATTCGTAAGTCTACTTCCCCAGCAGGAGCGGGCTTTTTCTTTGTAAAGAAGAAGGGTGGCGAATTGAGGCCTTGCATTGATTATAGGGGTTTCAATCGAATCACCACTAAGAATGCCTACCCAATTCCCTTGATTACTGAGTTGTTCGACCGCCTTAAGGGGGCAACAGTCTTTACCAAACTTGACCTTAGGGCAGCGTACAACCTTGTACGGATCAAACAGGGGGATGAGTGGAAGACCAACCAGAACCAGTCACTACGAATACCTGGTGATGCCCTTCGGGTTGTGTAACGCGCCCGCAGTTTTTCAGGAATTCATAAATGATGTCCTTCGTGACTTGTTGCAGCAGTGCGTGGTAGTTTACTTGGATGACATCCTGGTTTACTCTGCCTCCATGGAGTCCCATATCCAGGATGTCAAGCAGGTGCTGCAACGATTACGTTAGAACAAACTTTTTTGTAAACTTGAGAAGTGCGAATTCCATCTATCCCAAGTTGCCTTTTTAGGCTACATCATTTCTGCGGAGGGATTCTCCATGGACCCTCAGAAGGTTTCAGCGGTTCTGCAGTGTCCTCGTCCCAATGGTCTTCGGCCCATTCAGCGCTTTTTGGGTTTTGCCAACTACTATCGGAAGTTCATCAGGAACTTCTCCACGCTGGCAAAGCCTCTCTCAGACCTGACCAAAAAGGGCAGTAATCCTCACGAGTGGCCATCCGAGGCCATCGTAGCTTTCGAGGCTCTGAAATCCGCCTTCGCTTTGGCTCCGATACTGTCTCATCCCAATCCTGGATTGCCCTTCGTCCTTGAGGTTGATGCATCCGAGACGGGAGTAGGACTTATCTTTCGGAGGCCAAAAGATTGACACCCTGTCAGGCCAGATGGGCCTTGTTCTTGTCACGGTTCAACTATGTGGTCTCCTATTTGCCTGGTTCCAAGAATGTCAGGGCTGATGCATTATCGCGGCAATACTCTGAGTTGTCCAGGGAGGACTCTGAGCCAACCTCGGTCATACCTCCAGATCAGATCCTGGCTGCCATTCGCACCAGTCTGACTTCTCCCCTTGGGGAGCAGATTTTGGCGGCTCAAACTGACGCTCCTCCCGAGAGACCGAGGGTAGATGTTTTGTACCCGAGGGGTTGCGCACCCGTCTGCTGCGTACCTACCATAACTCCAAAACTTCCGGGCATCCGGGGAGGAACCAATTGTCTTGGGTCGTCTCTCGGTTGTTCTGGTGGCCAACTCTCTGTGCCGACATCGCCTCTTATGTAGCGGCATGTTAGATCTGTGCCCAGAATAAATCTTCGCGGCATCTTTCAATGGGTCTTCTACAACCCATTCCCATTGGGGAGTGTCCTTGGTCACACCTGGGCATGGACTTTATTGTAGACCTCCCTGTGTCTTGGGGTCATACGGTCATTCTCATGGTCGTCGATCGTTTTTCCAAAATGTGCCATTGTATTCCACTCAGGAAATTACCAACAGTGCAAGAACTGGCCACGGTCTTTTTCAGGGAGATTTTTCGCCTGCATGGGTTGCCCAAGGTGATTGTCTCGGACCGCGGGAGTCAGTTCGTGTCCAGATTCTGGCGCGCCTTCTGCTCCCAGTTGGGTATTAGTCTCTCCTTTTCTTCAGCCTACCACCCGCAGTCCAATGGGGCTGCGGAGCATTCCAATCAGGCCTTAGAACAATTCTTTCGGTGGTATATCTCGGACCATCAGGACGATTGGGCTGATCTCCTGCCTTGGGCAGAGTTTGCCAGGAACTCAGCGGTCAACTCCTCCCGGGATGTCTCCCTTCATGGCCAACTATGGGTACCAACCCGCGGTATTACCTGAGAGGTTCTCACCACAGGACATTCCGGCTGTGGAGAACCATCTTGCTGCCCTGCGTTCTCCATGGGGGCAGATCCAGAGTGCTTTGAGGGACTCGGCTCAGCGTCAGAAGTTCCAGGCTGATCGCAGACGGTTGCCCGCTCCTTCATACCAGGTCGGCGATTGGGTGTGGTTGTCTACTCGTAACCTCAATCTTCGGGTGCCCACACCCAAACTAGCTCCCCGTTTTGTCGGTCCTTTTCACATTCTCCGCAAGGTGAATCCAGTGGCCTATGCCCTTGCCTTTCCACCTGGGATGCAGATCTCCAATATCTTTCAGGTATCACTGTTGAAACCTCTGATCTGCAATCGCTTCACTACCTCTCTGCCTTGGCCCCGTCCCATTCGGGTTGACGGTAATGAGGAGTATGAGGTGAGTCGGATCCTGGACTCTCGATTGGTGCGCGGTCGATTACGGTTCCTGGTTCATTGGCGCGGTTATGGTCACAAGGACCGTTCCTGGGTTCCTTCCGCGGATGTCCATGCTCCTGCCCTCCTCCGCGCTTTTCATACCCGCTTTCCTCAGAAACCTTTTGTTGAGCCGCGGAGGGGGAGGGACCCTTGAGGAGGAGGTACTGTCAAGGTCCTACCTTTTCCCAGAGGTTATGTTACTCCATGTGCTGGCATCCATCTTGGATTTCTGCTGAGCATGGTGGGAATCTTTTATGCCTTCAGGTCTCTGAGGTCCATCCCCCAGAGGGGTATGGCTGAGTACATATAAGCCTGTGATCCGCACATGCTCTTTGCACTTGTGTCTTGTGTCTTTGTCTTGCTACAGCTCTGTGTATACGCTCGTGACTCTTCTGGTATCTGACTCGGCTTGTGACTAAGACCATTCTCTGTGTTCTCCTTCGATCTGACCTTCCGTTGCTGAACCCGGCCCGTGACCTGTGATTCTCTGTCTACTGTTCTGTACCGTTTTGTCCCGTTGTTGTCGACCCGGCCTGCCTGACTACGCTATTGTCATTCTAACCAGCCACACACCATTGGTGGTGGCCATTACCACAGCCGGGGTGTCTTGGGGGCCGCGACCTGG